ACCTTTCTTTGTTTTTCAGATGGTTTTTCATGTGAAACCCCTCTTGCTTGGCCAAAATCTTGCAGCAAAAAAGGCTGTGAAGATGGAGGCATATGTTAGTCCCACCATGGGAGATGTCAAAGAGAGGAAAGCTGGATTCAAAGAGAAGGTGTCCATGGATTCTATAGCTAGCAGTCCAAAGGGAAAAAATCTATCAAGGGTGCAACCTGAGAAAGAAAAAAAACTCAGAGCATGCATCAAGTCATGTTCACCAAAAAGTTGAACCTGATCTATGACCTTGAGGAAGCTGTAAATTCAAAGAAGAAAATTGAGCAACTTACGGGAAAGCTCAGCAATGCTCCAAAAATTTGTTAAAGCAGCAAATCCAAGCAAGATGAAGCTGCAACATTGAAGAAGGAGCTGATCTGCTAAAGGAGATGCTTTAGTAGCAACAACAAACCAAACCAAAGCATAAAGAACTACAAAATGGCAGATTCCAAATGCTTGGTTAATGTCATGTTATCCTTAGCTTTAACACGAAGGAAGAGTGTTCGAGCTGCGGTGTCAAAGCTGCACAAGAGGCAGTAAATGGAAAGAAAGCTGCACAGGTGGCAACAAAATGAAATGAAGGGAGAGCTGCATCAAAACACGGTAGCAACAGAGTGCATCAAGCTATGCTGCAAATGTTGATTAAATGAGGCTGTAATGAAATGCAAATGAAAGGCTGCAAAGTAGCAGCAAGTACAACCACATGGAGCTACACAAGTGGCAGCAAATGAAAGGAAATGAGACTGCAATGAAGGCTGCAAAGTGGTTGCAGAGTTCCAGCCACATGGAGTAGCACAAATGGCAGCAAGACTTTTAATGTAATCTTGCATTAAATGTTCTGTAGATTTTTCATGTATTAGATAAGTACTAGTTTTTGTTTTGCCCGTCTCATTGCATAGTTTTTTTTTTTTTTTAAATTTTTTATATTAGAGTTTAGATTTTTTATTTTTTTAATAAACTCTTCAATTTTATAATGATTTTTAATTAAAAATTTTAATTAAGTAATTAAAATTGAGTTAAAAATTGTGTTTAATAATTAATATGAGTATTTTTTTAAAAAAAATTATATATAATCACATTAAAAAAATAATATTAAGAGAATTTGAAAAAATACTTAATATTAATTATTATCTCATATATTTGTTCTTTTTCTCTATTATTATTCTATTTAAAAATTTAGATAATATTTTCTCTTCTCTCAATTAAAGGACTATAATATAATTAAACAGGATTAAATACCTATGTGTTGTATGTGCATTGTACATAATCATATTTATACATTAATTTTTATTATGGTTGATGTTGTTGTTATTATAATAATAATTATTATTATTAAATAGCAATTTCAAAAATGTGTTAAAAAAATAAAAATAAAGCATATATATATATGTAAGCTAAAATAAATAAATAAAAAAGAATCAAATTTTTTTTATTGATTTTGACATTTATAAATATTAACGAATTAATATGGATATTTATTAAATTATTCATATTTCTAATTTATTCATTAAAAGACTTATTTTACATCATCATTATAACATTTTTTTGTAAGTCCACATTCAAAATAAATACATATATATTATATTATTTTTAAAAAAATATTTTTGATAAAAAAAATTTTACATGAAATAAAATCAAACAATTCATACAAAAATATTCTTCTTTGCCAAGCTCTTTTAGATCTGACTTCCTCGTCCACATTTTTTTTCAACCAAAAAAAAAAGTGCATGAGGTGAAAAAAATTAAAAATAATAAAAATAAATAATGAATAAAAGTGGTATAGTAGTGTTATAAATGATAATAAATAAAATTGTAATCATATGTTTTTATTCCCCATAAAAATCAAACATCTATTTATCTTCCTTTTGATTTAATTCATTCATTATATATGTAATGAAAACTAATAATAGTAAGATAATTGAGAATATTAAGAAGAGAAGTGGAAGTAGAAGAGAAGAAGATAAGAAGGTAAAACAAATATTATTAGTACATATATTTATTATATTTTAAATGTAAACATACTATATTTTCTTTTTAACTTTTAACAAAATATGTTTTTTATAACTAAAATAAAAATGACAAATTTTAGTGCCTAATTAATATTTAAGTATAACATTTTATATAATATATAGATATAAATAGATAGATATAAATGTAGACTGTTAATTTAAAAAATTTCCCTTTTGATTTTTTAATATATAAGTTTTGTTAGCTATTAGTCTAATAATCAAATAAGTTTTATCTTATATTTTTTTTTTCACCTTCCTTAGTTACTTTTAATTCTTCTTTAATCAAATTCATGGTTCTTTAAAATTGAAATTAAACAATATCAATTATTATTTTAATAAAAAAGTCATACTTTAACAATTATCTTTTTTTGTTGTTTTTACATTAGTCTTTACCAACTCTTTTTTTATAATTACTTGTAAAATTTTGTTTTATGATTATTTTTCTTGTCCATTTTCTCATTTCCAATTTGCTATCATTTTTGTCCATTCTTATTTTATTCCTTTAACTTGCATATTACAAAGTATTTTAATATATTAATATAAATACTCAAATTAAAGTTACAAAAAAATTATTTGAATGAGATTTTAGTATAATTAAATGCACATTTCCAAATATATATATAATAGTAATATTGGATATATATACAATTTAGAGAGAATGCGAAGTAGAATTTTTATATTTAAAAGAATAAAAAAATTAATAATAATATAATATGAATAAAATAAAATTCATAATATCTTACAAAAAAATATTTTTTCATATAACTTGACATTTATCAAATTCATACATTTTTTTTGATCCCTCAAATTAAGTTTTGTCCTCATCACATAAAAAAACAAAATCATTAATAAATTAAAAAAAAATAATACATAAATTTCAAATAGATAATGACAGAGATAATTCCTTCAGCAGTATATCAAAAATTTCCAATCCGTGTTAGGCTGTTTTTGTCGAGTCAAATCCGCCGCAAGATTCTGCTATTTGTGAACATATTGCAGCGTCCATTACAATGAAGCAACCTAGAATAATCGTACGCATAGCCTTCATCCACCTTAAAATGAGATTTAATGTCTTTGCTCTATTCAAAGGGATACGACTAGAACATCAAAGTCTTTGCTCCTTCATTCGGCTGATTTAAGTCTGAGTCGAAGACTAGAAAGTGCAAGTCAAAGTCTTTGGTCCTTCATTCAGCTGATTTAAGTCTAAGTCGAAGGACTAGAAAGTGCATGTCAAAGTCTTTGGCCTTACATTCAGAACATTAACGTAGGGAATACCCTTGCCACCCTTTTCATTGTCTATTAAAACCCCAGTTGGCGCTAAACTGCAGAAACAAGCTAAAGAAGGAATCGTGTTCGAAAAAAAAAAATGCAAGGGATAATTGTTTCTTACTTGGAGATGAGCAAACTCACAATTTCCTATTCCTCCTACACAATTTCTTTCAAAGCCATTCTGCTCTTGCTTCTCCACATTTCTAGTTCTCAAACTCTCACAAATGCCACTTCTACTTTTCCTAGAAATACAACTGATCATATTGCCTTGATAGCATTCAAGTCCAAAATTTCAAATGACCCTCATGGGATTTTCAAGTCCTGGAATGATTCTATCCACTTCTGTCGGTGGGAAGGCATCACTTGCAGTCGTAGGAGGAACAGAGTTACCGTCTTGAATCTTTCGTCCAGGAACTTGGTGGGTTCTTTGTCTCCTTTCATTGGAAACTTGAGCTTCCTACGAGAGATTAGGCTTTCAGAAAACAGTTTTTATGGTGATATCCCGTCGGAAATTGGTCGTCTATTCAGATTACGGTACCTTAATTTGGATAACAATTCATTCGAAGGGAAGCTTCCATCCAACTTGTCTCATTGCTCCAACCTTATTGCCCTTGGAGTTTCTCAAAACAGGTTAACAGG